CAACCAGTATATTGAGAGTTCTTTCTGGAACTTCGATGCTCTCTTCCAACCGCAGCAGCACCCAGCCAGGGATGCGCACGACACATTCTTCATGTCCTCACCAGCAACCACTACGCAGTTCCCCATGGAATATCTAGAACGGGTGAAGAAAGTACATAGTGAAGGCGGCTATGGGTCACAGGTTAGTGTCTTGGCATCTGTAATTTTTTGATAGAATATAACATAATCTTAGCACTTCAGGACTACTCCTCCAGGATTCATAACAAGACTGGTGAAAGCTGGGGTTACATTTGTTGCATGCATTTCTGTAGTAGTTAGAAATGAATTGGAGGAATAGATGATATTATGCTGTCCTTCCTAAATGCGCCTAGATATGAGAGAATTATTATTATTATACATTAAAAAAGTATATGCTCCACCCTTGGTCTAAAATGGTTAAAATAAAGAAAAGCTCTTTAAATTTTATGGGTTGTTACCAGGGTTACAGATACGACTGGAAGATAGAGGAAGCTCAGAAGAACCTACTGCGGACACACACGACGGCCGTCAGTGCACGCATGCTGTACAAACTGGCGCAGCAGAAAGAGTTCACTCCACAGAAGTATTTCAGTATTGATAAGGTTACTTACTTTATCTTCCTAATTCAGAAATTATTTAACCCATAAATCACCAAGCGGTCACCGGTGACCGCTTTCCACTAATATTACATTACATTATAGACCTTATTTGTAATGTTTAGAGACTACTTTTGTATGACCAAATTTAGGGGGTGGATTTCAACGGGTTAAAAGGCTTTGAAGGGTCAAAGACAACATACACATTTATTTGTTTATTTTTAAAACAGTCACAACAGTAGAATACCAATTATTATTACAGTAACTGACATATTTACAACAATAAAAATTCGTTATAATACCTATGCGTGCCAGACTTCAAATCACAGAAAAATATTACCTAAACGTTATTTAAGGTGATGTAAAATACACCTTGTTCTTATAGTCATAACATTAGTTTTTGTTAACTCAAGAACGAACTAATCGTTCAACCATTCTTTCTCTCAACTGCTATTATTATTACAGGTGTTCCGTAACGAGACTTTGGATGCGACGCATCTAGCTGAATTCCACCAAGTGGAAGGCGTTATAGCTGACCATGGTCTCGGACTGGCAGACCTCATCAGTGTGTTGGATACCTTCTTCAAACGCCTTGGCTTTGACAAATTGCAGTTCAAACCAGCTTACAATCCTTACACTGAACCCAGCATGGAGATATTTGCTTATCACACCGGTAAGATGCCTTGTATATGTAAGATATAGAAATGTAAATGTTATATTCTTCTTTTTAAACTGGTTAAATTAAGAAAGAAAGGAAGACAAGACATTTATTCAGCACCAGGCACAATGCAACATAAATAAAATATAAAAAAGACTATAAAAGATAGTGTGACAGTGAAAATAAGATTAAGAGTGAGTAAAAAGTAAAAAGAATCATAAAAGAAATACTAACAACATGCCTATGCTAAATGGGTTACCCACTCAATGTAAGCTAGGCACATGAGTCACCCAGCACTGATTTTCAGTGGACTCCCCTGCAGTGAAGCACGGATGGTAGCAATGTTTTATGGTTAGACAAAAAGTTAAGTGTCTAATGCCGGAATACTGAAATGTTACTCAATTTTAAGTCGTGCTTAAATATCGTGCCTTCTCTGTCATTTTACAAAGAATTTGTGGAGACAGAACTATACTTAAGCGCGACTTAAAATTGAGTAGCGTTTGAGTATTCCGGCATATATATGGATACTTGATGTGTGTTTACCATATGAAATAATTCCTTTGAAGTATTGTCAATGCGCTAACTCGTATTATATAGGATTTGTACCATTAATTAACAAGAAATAGATCTAACATTAAGTACATATATTTTACTTTTACAGGTCTCGGTAAATGGATTGAAATAGGAAATTCCGGTGTTTTCCGACCAGAAATGCTTTTGCCGATGGGTCTTCCAGAAGATGTGAATGTGATCGCTTGGGGTCTTTCGTTAGAACGACCGACGATGATCAAATACGGACTGAACAACATTAGGGACCTTGTCGGTCCCAAAGTGGATCTACAGATGGTGCAGAACAACCCTATATGTAGGCTTGATAAGTAATTTATTATTTAATGCATTTAAATAAAATATATGTTAAAAACTATTTACTTGTTTTTATTTATTGATTTCTACTGTTAGATCGTAGTTTATGTCTCACTTATATTTCACTGCAGTGTTGTGCAGTACCAAATCTTCGGTAAATGCAATTTGAGATCCATTTGTGTGTCATAAGATCTTATATAGATCACAAAAAGATCGGCAAAAACAAAGTTGAAACTAGGTAACACGCCTCTCGTGAATCCGAAGGTCCGGCAAAATGCTATGGCAGAATGTACCTATTTTGTTTTTTTTAGTGAGTAGCAACCGATTGCGTGATTCAATAATTCTGCCTAGGTTATAGACAAATCGATTCAAAAAATATATATAATTTATAAAATCAATTTCATATAAATTGAAAGTAAGTAGATATTATTTTACAATACAATAGAATTATTTTACCTAGTTGATTGAATTTAAATTAAGTACCTACTAATTCACACATTAACAAAACAAATGTGTCGACGATAATAGTGAATATAAATAAAATACAATTATTCACGACGGTTGGTATGTGTGCTTTAGTACACAGTACGGTGTTTGTTACCGACTTCAAATAAAGGAGGAGGTACTATATTCGGCTGATTGTTTTTTTTTTTTTTTTCGTTTATTCACCGATTACTACGGGATTTGTACCGAAACCATCGAAAATCGCAGCGATTAATAATGTGTCTATTATGTTTTTCAATTAATTAATGATAAAACATAATGGCCACAATATTGTAAATTAGTTAAGTGATGGGTAACCTATCAGTACTAATAATAGTCATTTTTTACTTTTTTTAAAGGTAGGTAAACCGTGCTTTTGTAAATTTCAATATTATACAACTTTAAAAAATCGATTCCGATACATTCAATATTTAGATCGATTTAAAAATTACGCACTGATGATCATCACTAAAAACCGTAAAGAGTTGTCATGTTACAATGGCGCACAAAATATTGTCAAAAACATTGGTATTTTTTGTGTTTTATTAGTATGAATGGTGATTGAAATTTAGACAATTTTTTTAAAAATATCCTTAGGTCTCTATTTTTCCCTGACACAAATATAATACCTGACAAATAGGTAATTTAAAAATATGTGTAGTTTAAGTAAAACTGAAGTCATCTACTTTTTCGATAGGTCTTAAATTCTAAATATGACATCGATTTTTTTTTAATTTTTAACGATATTATTAATGTAAGCTGGTCACGCATTTAAAGATATTTCTGATAACATAACACTGAAATGGTCACCTAACTATGGGATTTAGTCGTGGAGAACCTAACGGGTAACCGGGGCTCCGGCTCGACGTGCAGGAGAAGGAACGGGATGGTTTTTGGTCAGTAAGTAAGAGTCTGACACTCCCTCCCGCCTCACCCAGGCGGGAGCAGTCATTCGATGATTTTCCCACCTTAAAAAAAAAAAAAAAATACCCTACTCTTTGGTTGATCATTTCTACATTTTGTGATTATTGTGACATTTTATAGTTTCCCGCCGCATCAAGTAGGATGACGGATGTCAAAATCGACTAGAGTCATACTAGAGTGGTTAAGCTTTAACTACCACAGAAACTTGAAATTTACGTCTAAATGGGTTTCTGTGTCTTAAAATTTAAACCTACTTATTTGACTGAAAATCCATACAGTAAATAATTTAAGCCCCAAAAAAGGACACAGGTTGTATCCCAAGAAACCCTACGGGACGGGAACTAGGCATTAAAATCCAGGGATACCAATTTTTTCAAACTACTAAACCTAATTGACTGAAATTCCGTACAATGGTAGTTTGAGAACCGAAAAGAGACCTAAATAAGTTTTATCTCAGACACCCCACGGTACAAGGAACAATGGGTTAAAATCCCGGGTCGCCAATTATTTATTGTAAACTACTGAATTTATCTAGCTGAAATTCTGTACAACGATAGTTTAAGACTCGAGAGGTGACTTAGATAGGTTTTCTTTCGAAAATCCCACGGGAAAGAAAGAAAGAAAAACCATTTATTTTGCTACGACACACAACAAGAATTTGGAAACACAAAAAAAAAGCCCATGGTGCGTCGCGTCGCAGCGCAAAACGGAACGGAAACCAGGCGTTAAAAACCCGGGATACCATTTCTTTCAAACTACTAAATGGTAGCTTGATACCTACTTGAGAAAGGACCTACATAAGTCTTAACCCGGAAACCCCACGGGACCGGGAACTAAGTATTAAATCCGGGGATACCATTTCTTTCAAACTATGTAGGTACTAAATCTATTTGACTGAAATTCCGCACAATGATAGTTTGAGACCCGAGAAAGAACTCATCAGGTTTTATCCTAGAAAAACCATGGGAATGGGAACTACGAGTTAAAATCCCGACACGCTATTCATTTTAGACTATTGAGTCCATTCGACTGAAATTTCATACAAATTCGTACGCTATTTCTTCTAAACTACTGAACTTATTTATTCGAAATTCTGTACATTGATAGTTAGAATCCTACGGAATCGAGACCTATGTGCGTAAAACTTAAAACTATAATTTTATGTATTTTAAATCACGTAATATTTTACAATCTCACAATAAATAAAAACTTAAATACCTACCGACTTGATTGAAATTTAATATGAATACATAGAAATAGACTTTGGAAAAGGGGAAAAAAGTAAAAAAATCTAAAATGCGCTGACGAAGTTGAGGGCAAAAGCTAGTAAATAATAAAAGGATCATCCAACCTTGTTAATAACAAGGTGGGATGATCCTTTTCGAATTTGACAATATTTTTCAAAAATATACAAAAAAATAAAGAAATTAAGAAAACAATGTACTAGCGCACTTGTCACCATTTTGTCACATTAATAACTTTGTTTCAGGATTTTTTACTATTAAATTGGTTTTAATATCTTACAAAAATGTTATCGTCTTACAGAAATGCGATTAAGTTATTTAAAACTGTGGTAAGTTACATAACGCCGATGAGGATGCCCGTAAGACATTATGAAATTCCAAAGCACCTGCAGGAAGTGGGTTGCGAGCCCAACCCTGACTTCTTCAGGATGGTGGAGTACTTCTACCACAACGCAGTGAAAGTATGCGAGCCTTCGCTAGTCAAATACCTGGCCAAGCACACACACTTGTCTGAGAAGAAGAGACAGCAAAGAGTGAGCGGAATCCTTGCAGTAAGTAGCTCCTCCATTCATTCCTTCCGACCGTCCTTCACATCAAAGGCAAATAATGAGGAAGGAATTTCATATCGATTGTGATGACAGATTGTTTTGTATTATTATGTATTAGTACGTACCTACCTGTTACCCGCGACATCGTCCGCGTGAATTGCGACTTCTGTATAAATTGGGTTTTTGAATTATCTAGTCTTTGCCAAGGTATATTCTACGGCTGTACGACTATAACAAACATCACCACAATCGATTCAGTACTTAGGTTATATTTAATAGTAATGTTACCTGTCAGTTATCCGTTTCCAGATACATTTTGTAATTAATAGGTATTCTTAATAATCGGCATAGTGACTTCCACGTAAAAGATAAAAATATGCCGTCACTGACTTTTATTTAGAACTAATCAACACAAACAATCTTACCGCATCTTTCGGTACATACTTACACTCGGCTTCGAGTGTTAACAACTAAATAGGTACTAGTACTTATTTAATTTTCAGGTGATGGGCTCTTGCAACAGCTGCCTTCAGATGGAATTTCCCTTGCAGCGTAAGAATGGCAGTTACGATATTATACAGGCCTACCGTGTTCAACACAGTGTCCATCGTCTGCCGTGCAAAGGAGGTGAGTAAATAGACCGCTTGCTCTACTCCACGTGGTGTGGAAATTAATTTTCGTCACAAAATACCTACTCATTGAAATGTACTTTGCGGTGCTCTGGCGCCAAAACTGTATTGGTATATTACAAAAAAGTTGACAAACATAAATTGTAGAAAGTGTTAGTTAAATTTGTTGTCAACGTTCAAAATTCTTTCCTAACTGTTTTGGCTCCTTGCTGGATTACCGCTGTAGGATCTGGAGATGACATGCCGCACTAGATTAGTGCGTGGCGGGATGAACTCTGACGCGATCTTATCATGGCGGTATCAACGGTATGGCAGCAACGACTATCCCATACGAGGGCTGGGCTCGCTGTCTTTGCAGCGGTAAGTCCCCTCTTTGAGGAGTGGCTTGAGAGACGCTACGGCGTCCTAACCTACCGCCTGACGCAGGTGCTTACCGGACACGAAAGTTACGGTAGGATGCTGTTCCGGATGGGGCGGGAGGGAACACCCGGGTGTCATCACTGCAAGGACCGCCCGGAGGACACGGTGGAGCATACGACGACGGTGTTGTGACCTGCGAGCCCTCAGGGGTGAGATCGGCGATGGCGACCTCTCGCGTCCGGCTCTGGTTCAGACCATGATATCTACGGAGCTGGGAAACTAGGATAACATTTCCTACTTCTGCGAAGGAGTCATGCTAACTATGAAGTTAGCGCAGGGCTCGTAAAGAAACGATAACCTCCTCCCGCCCCAGCAGTCGCGATAGATACTCCATTGAATTTTCAACACTCCCTTAAAACGTTATAACCACCTACCTACCTACCTACCTAACTAAATTACTGAAATAATAAGACAACGTTCTTAAAAACATCTGACATTTAAGTAAGTTTGGTTATTGGAGCTTGGAAAACCAGATACAATGATTCCCATGGTGAATAAGTCCGAGACCATTCGAACTCCTGGCTGAATGAATGACCACAACGGTTATTACATTATTTTTAGTTTTGTCTATGTAAAAATAACTAGTAAACCCCTGCCCAGGAATCAGATTCTCTGACGAGGTGAACTTGGATGAGGTAAAGGCTCTCGCGTCCTTGATGACTTTCAAGTGCGCATGCTCAAACATTCCATTCGGAGGCTCCAAAGGAGGTGAACAAATCAAACTTACCATTACCCTTTTGTCTTAATTACTAAGTAGATAAGTAAGTACTTACATGTCTACTTTTATTGATATATGCATCTTAAAATCATAAACATATACATCACGCCTTTTATCTCTGAAGGGGTGCACATTACGGCATTTGATCCCACTGTAACACCCACTTTTCACTATTTATGTCATGAGTCCCATGTAATAGAGGGTGAGCCTATTGATATATACCGGGCACAATTCCAGACGCTGTGCTACTACTTTTTTTAAAACCCAGTAATACTTAACCCAAGACCCCTTGTGCGGCAGTCACACTTGCGACCACTCGGCCAACGAGGCAGTCAAGCTTCAAATCTTAATTTTAATTCGCCTGATATTTTTAGGTGTGAGCATCAACCCGAGAAAGTTTACGGTGGCAGAACTTCAACGTGTCACAAGACGTTACACATTGGAACTTGCTAAAAAGAATTACATAGGTAATTACGAATAGTACCTAGGGTGCATGCTCTAAAATAGCATGCTAAAAAGCGTTCTATTGCTTTATACAAGCATCCTTTTGAGCAGTTTAGCTAGAAAAAGGCATACTTACTTTAACCTGTTTATACCATACCCCCTTCCACCCGCTCCGCAGGTAGCATACTCAAAAATCGAACGCCTGTCGATTCGCAAGCATGCCCGAATACAGCATGCTAATTTTGAGCAACATCCTAACACACATATGATATTAAGTAGCGAGTGCTCAATTAAAACATGCTTTTGTGCTTGAAATGAGTTTGTGCAGTACCTTTAAGACCTTTATATTTTGCAAACGGTGCCGTACAGGTGAGCCTTATAACTATTACATTAGGAGCTTGATTTAAATGTTTGCGTTTTAAAGGTGCCGGCATCGACGTGCCTGCTCCTGATTATAATACTTCCGGCAGAGAAATGTCTTGGGTAGTAGACACATACATCAAAACTTTAGGTAAGGAAACAATCTGTTATAACTGGGTCTGGCATATTAATTCTAAACGTTTATGTTGTTGTTACGGGTATAAAACTAACATAAGTAAATGTTGCCGTATTTGCCAGGTTACTCGGATTTGAACGCGGCCGCATGTGTGACTGGCAAGCCAATTAATGGTGGAGGCATCCACGGGCGCGTGGAAGCCACCGGACGCGGAGTGTACATGACCATCAACTACTTCATCCACAATGAACACTTCATGAAACTGATCGGAGTACAACCTGGATTTAAGGTACATACCTGTTCAGCGGTGTTGCCGTGTTTACTCTTGGATACCAATATATTTTTTTACATATTCTACTGATGTCTCACATTCCTGACTGCCTCGTTGGCCGAGTCGTCGCTAGTGCGACTGCCGGGCAAGGGGTCTAGGGCAAAGTATTACTAGATTTTTTTAAATTCTCAGTACCTAGTAGCACGGAGTCTGGAATTAGGCCCGGTAAATGGCAATAGGATCACCCCGTATTACAAGGGACTCATTACATAAATAGTGAAAAATGGTTGTTAGATTGTACCGGGGCATTAAGTGCCGTAATCTACACCTCAACGCCTACCCCTTCGGGGATAAAAGGCGTGATGTTATATTATTTTCTAACATTCCGAGGAGACTCTCATACGGGCGAGACCCTTATGTTCCCGGGTTATAGGTTCATGTTACATTTGACAGGGCAAAACAGCGATCATCCAGGGTTTCGGCAACGTGGGCAGTTGGGCAGCTGTATACCTGTATAAGAGTGGAGTAAAGATCATTGGCGTCTGTGAACATACCGCCAACCTGACGTCCACTGAGGGCATCAACCCTATAGTGAGTTCATTGTATTTTATAGCTTTATAGTCTTCCTACGATAGCATAGGTACTCACTTAGTTTCGTACGGGTACTAGAGATGAGCGTAGGTACTAAAATGAACATGGTACTAGGTACTAGTATGTCACTGGAAGACGAGCTGCAACATCCTCAATCACGGCCATGCGCAGAGTTTTAAGACCAACGAGGGAGGCCTTCGTTCAGCAGTGGTTGTCTTCTCTAAAAGTCCTATCTTAATAACTATATTGTTTTGTTTTATTAATGGTTTAATTATTTTATTTTAAGTAGGTACTGTTAATTTATTAATAGTTTATTAATCCATAAAATTATAATACATATAGTGATATATGTAGGTATTATAATGTTTCATATACCTACCTACCTAAAATCTCAAAAAAATTGCTATATGACTGCACTTATGTAAGTTTCCCAAATCAGGATTTGATGAAATACATGAGAGGGAACAAGAGAAGCGCTAAAGGGTATTCGGTAGGGGGTGCCAAAGAGACAGGACCTGATCTTTTGTATCAGAAATGTGACATTCTTGTGGTTGCTGCGAAGGAGAAAACTGTCACAGCTGAAAATGCACCTAAAATTCAAACGAAGGTGAGTACTTACAAGATGAAGTAGATTTATTATTTCCGGCGGTATTTCCGAACCGATACGACCTTCAAACCTTCCAGAAAAGAGCGTATTCCTTTTTAAAAGGCAACGCACCTGTGACTCCTCTGGTGTTGCGGGTGTCCATGGGCGGCGCTGATCGCTTACCATCAGATGATCCGTACGCTCGTATGCCTCCTATTCAAAAAAAAAAAAATTTAAGTGTCGCCGTGTGATTTAGAAGACCGCCCATTGAGGCTACGCATCGTTCTGCTAGTTCTGCTGAACACTGAAGTTCAGTTACAGTTCTAAAGTAAATCACAGTGAATGGCATTTTTCTCCACTAGTGCTAAGTAGAAAATAATATGAATTGTTGTTATCTGTAGCATAAACCATGATATTTGATTGTATGTGTAATACCTATAGACACTAGACAGGCTGCCGCGCAAGATGTATGGCCCGGCGCAAACCGGCGGAGACGCGACATAAGCTTCTTTGTCTGCAGATTTTATCCGTATGCCATAGTTGTTAAGATTTATTTTAAATTGATTTATTTTTAGGTATCTTCGCCGCGCCCTCGCCGGTTTGCACTGGGCCTAGCATGTTCGATTCCCGCATTGGGATCAGGGTGTCGTATGTCATACCTTATACCTATGTAAACTTGTATGTTTGTAAACGACAATGTTTTATTAAAATATCTATAATAAAATGTCGCGTAGATCATGGCTGAAGGTGCGAACGGGCCGACAGTGCCGTCAGCGGCGGACGTGCTGCACCAGAAGAAGGTGCTGGTGATACCGGACTTATTGTGTAACGCCGGCGGTGTCACAGTGTCCTACTTTGAATTCCTCAAGAATCTTAACCACGTCAGTTTCGGCAAGCTGAGCATAAAGTTCTGGAGAGACTCAAACACGGCGCTTCTAGGTGACTAAAATACATTTTTCTGTTTTCAAAGTCGGTTAGATATAAGCTTGAAACGTAGTAAGGAGGTACATATTATACAATAACCTAATTACGTGTTTAAGAATTCATTCTATATTTGTGTATTTTAAAAGAGATGAATTACTAAGTAGACACATACCTACTTTTTTTTAGGGGGGGATAATCGTCGAATGACCGCTACCGCCTGGGTGAGGCGGGAGGGAGTGTCAGACTCTTACTGACTAAAAACCACGCCGTTCCTTCTCCTGCACGTCGAGCCGGAGCCCCGGTAACCCGTTAGGTTCTCCGCGACTCCGAGTCGGCATCAGCCCTATTGGGGCCGATCCGTGGTGGTCTGGGTGCTTACTCTTGAAACCAATCTCAATTTCAATGCAATTTCAATCCAATAAAATCTCAATAATGTTTCAATATCAAAACTATATAGGCGAGAAGGCAGCGCTTCGCTGCCTCACGCGTCCCGCCTCCTCCTTAGCTGCCTGCTGACTGCTTCACAAAAGGAGGAGACGGCATCCCAGTCCCCCTAGCTCCGCGTCATGGCCCGCACTAGGGCCGGACGCGAGAGGTCGCCATCGCCGATCACTTCCCTGAGGGCACGGCGGTGCTCAGCCCACGCAGGGCATTCCTCTACAGTGTTCCACCGTGTCCTCAGGGCGGTCCTCGCAGTGATGACGTCCGGGCGTTTCCTCCCGCCCCATCAGACACAGGTAGCTCCCGAAACTTCCATGCCCGGTGACAACCTGCGTCAGGCGATAGGTGAGGACGCCGTAGCGTCTCTCCACTCCTCAAAGAGGGGACTTACCGCTGCAATGGCAGCGAGCCCATTTGTCTGAGACTGGGGTACTTATTATTCTTGAATTTCTATTCATTTTTTATTCTAGGTATGTGCCTACTAAGGTAATTATGTAATCTAAAATGTTATGTTTAGATTCGGTTGAGAAATCTCTAAAGTCAGCCAGCGTAAATGCAAAAGTGGCTCCGACGCCAGCATTCGCATCAATGATGTCTGGCGCTAGCGAGCAACACATCGTGGGCACTGGCCTCGAGTACTCTATGACTAAAGCTTGCGCGGTATGGATATTTTAGATATATTATTCTTACTTTTTATGAAATAGGGCAACGGATCACCCGTGGATACCTGCAGCACCAAAGGGACATAACGCTTTCTTTCACGCCGGGTTACCGTGAGGCCATGGCATCACTCTGGTCGAACTGGTCAATAGGGTAGATGACTAATTTTTTTTTAAATATCCGTCTGGTAGATTATTTTAAAACATTGCACACGTATTTTTTATTTTTTTACAGAAACTAATACTTTCGACGATGTATTGGTTTGAAATGTCGCGTGACGTCTTTTCTATGTACATTATATTCCTACGTAGAAATGACGTTTTAGCCCCCACTCCTAAACTTTGATTCGTTATATCTAAGTATCATTGTGTCTAATATCTTTTCATTACCTAACTGACGGACTAATTAGATTTTTAATTGTCATACCCTATCATCATCCCAATTCGTGTCGATGTCGAAACATGGCTCTCCTACATCAAATCATCTTAATATGTGGCTACGTGTCTCTTGCTTACTAATACTACTTTTTCCAGAACGTGGCGGCCGCAGCTAAATCCTACAACCTTGGCATAGACTTACGAACCGCGGCGTACATTACGTCAATAGAGAAGATTTTCGCGACATACGATGAGCACGGCTTAGCTTTTTAACGATAGTTAGTCGCCATATTTATCAAATAAATACGGATTAAATATAGTCCAGGGACGGCCACTAGGGCTACGGTAGTGGGTCGACTGGCTGGGGCTTGCGATCTGGTAGCGTTATATTAGTGAGGAAAGGAAAGTGACCGGGGCGTGGACATCAGACTAGCGGCGCGAGTCTTGAATGTCCTAGTACACGAAGAATGCGTGGCCATAGAGGGTGAGTCCAACCTAGTAATATGTATGTGCATGAACAATGCTCAAGTACAATGTTTTTCCAGTTCATTAACGCATAATATATGGCACAAGACTAGGATAAACTAAGCAAGCCGGCCAGGCTGTTAAGCAGAGATTGGAGACTCGCTGTGTTCTGTATGTTCTCACCTTTACACCAAGTAAATATAATTATTGGTGGAACAGGATTTGCCCCATAAAAGTTTTCCCCCTGAAATACTATTTTTAACGACATTACCTAGCTGCCACTTGACTGCGTACATTTTGAACACTGAAGTCAACATTAAAGCCAGGGAAATGTAACAGTGGTTCCGTCTTTGTCTCTACTACACTAGGAAGCTTTTAAGCATGCAACGTAGTATATTGCTTCCAGTGTCATTTTTGAACTTACATTGTACTAAGGTAGCTTAGTGAAATTGGTGATATTTTCTTATTTTCATACTCAGCCAATTTGAAATATTTAAAGTCTTACGTAATAATGGATTACATCGTTACATGATATGGTACTTTAGTTTGTACATGTGTGCAGTAAAATATAACATTGCATGCATACATGCCAATACTTTGAACCTAAAACCATGGAATTTTGTACGAAAGTCTAAGAAAACGATAACTGTAGGTTGCAATGGGATTTGTTGTGATCCTGTGATTAAACCTACTAAATGGTTTCGCCTATTGGCGCCTATCTGACATCAGGATATATAATTACCTCAGCCCTGAAGTACTCCCGAGCACTCCTCACTCGTGACGAAATAAAAAGTAGCTTTCTTGTACAACCAATTATAAATGCTTTGACCAAATCCAGGAATATCTTCCAAAACAAATTCTACAAAATTTATAAAAAGTGTTTGTTTTTTTTATTGTTTTCTTGACAATTTCTATTTCTTGATAATTGTTATTTCTTGATAATGATAATTTGTTGTCCATTATTATTTATTGTTGCTAATTATGTATTTATGAATGTACTGACTATGGGCCACAGTGACTTTAGCGACTATTCACGATTTACCATGATGTTGTTAACTGGGACTTGCATACCCATAGTTATTTTATTTTTAAGATATTTTTACCAAATAAAAGATTTAATTTTACTATGATAATTTTATTTGTAAAAATATATTAATTTTTATAAGTAATATTTAGTGATAACTAAAGGAACATAATAAATTATTGTAGCGGAATGAATAATTGGGACAATACATATTTTGTAGAACTTTTCCTGCGTCGACGAGCGTTCATGGTCGCGGTTATTGAGTATCTCATAGTTCCTGAACTTTCGGAACTTTTTGATTAGTTCACTCCATAGACAAACGGGATGATTCTCGTTTGGTGCGAGGCCCAGTGTTATGTTGTGTTCATCATTTAAATAAAATATGAATATAATGCGGTGTTTTCTTTTAAAAGTAGCTCCCCAACCCAACAAACACGTTTCCTCCTGTTTATTTTACAGTGGTAACTTGAATTTTTAATACCATTATCTAACTAAAACTAGTTATTACTTAAAAATGGAAATACAATGCGTACGCGCAGTGAATTAAATAAATTCTTCAAATTGACGATAGTAATCTGCTTACTAAATACGTAATATTATTTTGATAATAACAAAAGTTGCTTTAACAGTACAGAATATAATAAGACTATTTTTTTTATAATCTGGCGTGTTCTCGGTTTTGTTTGTACCATGCAACAGTGTCGTGGATGGCGGTCTCAAACGGAGTGAATTTGAAGTCTTTATATAAACTTCTGAGTTTCTTATTCGAAGCTGTTTTCTTATACTGGCCGTCTGCCTTCGTGGTGTCGTAGACTATCTCTCCGGAGAACCCGTGAGCTTTCTTTATCATCTCGGCCACTGTACTTATTGGGACCTCATCTTCTTCATCAACTGTAATAAAATAATAACATTTTGAATTGATTGACATCTGTGTGTGTTGAAAGTATGGGAGAGCCACGCTGCGGCAGGAATGGGCCGGCTCGACCGGAGTGATACCACGTCCTCACAGAAAACAGACGTGAAGCAACACTTGCGTTGTGTGAGTGAGGTTACCGGAGGCCCAATTACCCTTCCCTTCCCCAATCTCCCCAATTCCTGAATCCCCAACGATCCTCAAACTCCTAATCCTCAAAAGGCCGGTATCGCACTTGTAACGCCTTTGATGTTCCAGGTGTCCATGGGCGACGCCGATTGCTTACCATCAGATGATCCGTCTGCTCGTGTACCGGCTTATGCCATAAAAAAAATCTAGACTTATTCCGTGAAGGTGTAATCACAGGTCCATATTCTCAATTAGCACCCACTATTGGCAGTCGAGTCCTGTGTCATCATCAATAGCCTATAAATGCCTACTGCTGACCAAAATCTCTTCTCATGCGGAGAAGGTTTGAGCATTACCCGTCATATGTCTAAACGTGGATCCACGCGAGACACAATGTATTTTCTATTGTCTCATATACGGGCATACAAGCGGTTAATCACCACGCTTGCTCAATGCGGGTTGGCGATTACAAACTTACAAAATTAGATGTTTTCCTTCACGGTTTGTCAGTAGTGTCAAGATAATCTTAGAAAGTACATTTAACTCGGAAAACGTCACATTGGTACTTGCCGTTAGTAGTTTTCGAACCCGCACCCTCATGTATGAGAAGCGGGCGTCTTAACTTCCGACATCCACGAGTACTATGAAGGACAAACTTATGGGGAAGTATACAAGACCCGCGGGAAGAGAAGGGCGATGGCCAATGTAATATTATTATTTACCTGACAGTATGATAGGTTCAACGCTGTCGTAGTTCCGCAGCACCCACACGAAGAGCCGCGCGAGGTCCAGCGAGTAAATGAACTGCCGCAGCGGGCGCCCGCTGCCCAGCACGCAGAACTGATGGTCGCCTGCGAAACATTCATATTACGAAGTCACATATAGTTGTTTTAATAACTGCTACTTTCTATGCTAAGGCTACCCGATAAAGATTTATATGGATGTTGCTATTGCTACGACCGATATTACCAAGTACAACTAAGTTTTGTCACCAAAAAATGCGCTCCTTGCTTCGGGGCTAAACAACTAGGCTGAAGAACTGTCGCGGAGAATCTAACGGGTTACCAGGGCTCCGGCTCGACGTGCAAGAGAAGGAACGGGGTGATTTTTAGTCAGTAAGAGTCTGACACTCCCTCCCGCCTTACCCAGGCGGGAGCAGTCATTCGATGATTTTCCCCCCTTAAAAAAAGGGCTAAACAACTACCTATGTAACATCTACCGACCCTTTCCCGCAATGAGAATAAAATATTTATAACTCCCCTGGTGATTTATATTTATTTATTTACATACATACATAACTTCATGCCTGTCTCCCATGGGGGTAGGCAAAGACTAAGATACTACGATTCTTACTTACCTCTTACCGGATATGAATGGGGCCGTCGGTAGAGGGCGCCCTAGACGGACATATAGTGACCAGATTGGCGATATATTAAAGAAGGGCCAAATTAAAAGTACCCTTAACCGACGAGCATGCATGAAAAGATTGATGACTGTTATTGAAGCGAAAGAGGTGTTTATTTATTTATGTTTATTTATCTTATACTAGCTTTTACCCGCGGCTTCGCCCGCGTCACAAAAGGATAAATAGTAGCCTATGTGACATATACCAATACACACAGCGCCATCTATACCAACAATTTCGTTTTCCCTCGAGAATATCATTTTCTTCTGGGTTAAAAAGTACCCTATTATTTAATCCAGACTTCTAACTATAGGTCTGCAAAAATTAAAAGCAATCGGTTTAGTAGTTACGGCGTGAAAGCGGAACAAACACACAAACAAACAAACTCAGTTCCCGATTTATAATATTAGTAAGGATGTTGCGGGTGTCAATACCAGCCGGTGAAGCGTGTTCTATTGTATAAAAGAATGGTGCAGTGAAGCTACGACCTGTCTGCACGGCGTCGTCCATCCGGCGGATGAGTGCGGGCACGACGTGTCCGGCCTGCACGCTGAAGTTGTCGTGCGGCCCGAACACGTTGCACGGCACCACCGACGTGAACGTGCAGCCGTACGTCTCGTGGTAACCTCTGCAACATTCAGACAATTACCTACACATATTATACAGTTTGCATGCAGTATTTCAATGCCACAACACTCAATTATGTAAATCTGTACAGGTGGGCCGTGTGCCTTTCTTGACACCGTACCACTGCTGTTCAATTCAACGCCCACTTTTCACTATCTATGTTATGATTCCCATGTAATAGGGGGTGAGCCTATTGCCATATACCGGGCACAGTTCCAGTCTCCGTGCTACTACACCGTCTTGTACTTGTCTTGACTTGTCTACTACTTTACACCGTCGTAGTATTAAAAAATGTACAGTCATTGTATGATATTCACTTCATTTGTGGAAAATTTTGGAAACGGCAGTAAAAACATCCCCGAACAGGGAATCAAATCTAGAAGCATGTAGAAGACTAATTTAAGCCATGTTATAATGAAGTGTGTAGTAAGGATTATCTTGTAGGTTACTTAATGACGTCACAGTGTGAGTCGTGTCTTTTTATCTATTACTTGACAGTTATCAGATTCATCAGATTGAAGTATAATATCAAGAATGTTGATTATAATATAACAATCCGAATTAATATTTCTGTGTAGACTCATGGTCCTTTTCACCAATCTCCCCTTAACCATCTCCTAATTAAGAGATACTTAGCTTATGGGATCTCCTAAACTAACCCCTTACCTTTATTGTTAGTTACAGATAGGTAAAAACTGATATTAAGACTGTTTTCACTAGGAACCTCTCTTAAATTTTAAGCAATCCCTAAGCTAAAATAGGTGCCAATTTGATTTTGCCATTTTATTTTGCCAAAAACATTTTGACTAGCACTCTATAAATGGCCCTAACTACGTAAAAGTTACTTTGCATGAGCACTTAACTAATTAAAAGATGGTGTGGGGGTGGTTGGTGGCTGCTTGACTTAGCTTAGGGGTTCCTTTATTTTAAGACAGGTAAAATAGGCATAACGGTTGTAAACCACAGGTGATTTCGAGGTTTTGAATAGTTAAAGCGGTTTACTACTCCAGGGAAAACCAAAGTATGGCCAGGGTTTAATGTTTAACAAAAATTACCTGTTTAGTACATCAATCATTCTCTTCGCGTAGCTGTAACCAAAGTTTGAAGAATGGGGAGGACCATTATGCACCTGAAATATTATAAAAAAAGTATTGGAAAAGCTTAAAGTCAAAATGAAGCAAGTTTTATTGAGCAAGATTGGTTTCCACTTAAAAATATTTATAGAAACTTGTGATATAGTTAAGCCCTCTTAATCATCCTCTTAAGCCATCCTAATAATACATAGATAGTTTTTTTTTTATTTCTGCAACTTGGCAATCTACATCTGTCAACACAATAAGCCATTCAGATGGGGTGTCTTGATTTCTGTCAGCAGCAGAAAATATTCCTTGTGTATCCCTTTCATCTTGAAGTGTCACCAAATCTCACGGTAAGTGTAGGGCCACTATGCCGTTTCAATCTTTTTTTTTTTTTTTTATGGAATAGGAGGCAAACGAGCAGACGGATCACCTGATGGTAAGCGATCAAATCTGGATTAATATTTAGTAACTCACCATAGTTTCATCAATTGGATATGTGGTCTTATCAGGAAATATACACGTAGACAGGCAGGATACTACTTTCTTAACTTTATGTTTATAACTAGCATTCAGCACATTATCGTTAATAGCCATATTCTCCCTCTGAAACAATATAAATATTAGGACTTGGTGCATTGCGTATTTTAGATAATACAATTTATGATGTCTGAAGCTGTCAGAAACATTTGGGCATTTTTTTAAGAGGGGAAAATCGTAAAATGACATTGGGCTCTATAGGTGAGGTGTGCGGGAGTGTGAGACTCTTGCTGACTAAAAACCACCATGTTCCTACTCCTGCTTTGAACTGGAGCCCCGACAATCTGTTAAGTTGTCCGCAGCTCCAGATTGAACATTTTAGCACCAAAATTATCTGATTTTTAATGTGGTCAAGTAAAAATGCACATAGCACTTTTTAATGACCAATTGATTATTTTTTCTTGTACTCATACTAACATGAATAAGTCATAATCAAACAAGTAGGTACAGATTTCATTAGTCCAAGTTTAATCAAGTAGGAAATACTAAAACTTTGCTAATGTATGCTATTAAAATTAATTAAGTACCTATCTTATCAACATCTCAACATAATAACATACTTTGATGGCAATAACAGCTTATCTAATTCATACAAAATAAGTACTTTAAGTAACTTACAAAGAAGTCTAAATTGTGTGCCATGTTGTGAAATAGTCCTCCGACCATGGCAGCTAAATGTATCACATGTGTGGGTTGATGTCTCTCAAACAAAGCATCCGTTTGGGCCTTATCTCTGAAATAAATATACAGAATACTGATTATTGTGTTATAAATTGTAGAAATTTTATGTTACTCTCTCTTTATGTCTATAGCGATATCTTTAGGTTTTTTAAGTTGGCAAGGCTCATGTAATGCCCCAAGTGTAGCAAGCGTTCATAGGCCAGATGAGCCACTATCGTAAAATAAGTCCCTGCCTGCCTAGTGATGGTGACACCATTTTAAATGATGCTGCTAGCAGGCTGCAGCAAATAAGTTCAAGCACAATACACCTGTTTCGTTGCACCTTTTTTTAACTTCTCACACTAATGCAAATGTTTTGTTCTAAAATATATAACATAACATCACGCCTTTTACCCTCGAAGGGATAGGCAGAGGTGCTATTCATTATTTATGTTACGAGTCCCATGTAATATGAGGTGACGCTATTGCCATATACCGGGAACAATTCCAGACTCCATACTACTACTTAAAATAAAAAAAAAACCAGTAGTACTTTGCCCAACCCAGGAATCAAACTCGAGACCCCTTGCCTGGCAGTCACAATTGCAACCACTCAGCCAACGAGGCAGTCAATTAAATATATGACTTCAATGTAATTACAACACCATACCTTTTAGTTTTTCAAACCTCACTGGTGTTTTATCAGATTTAATTATAGATAACCAGCTTCTGCCTGCAACTTTGTACACATAATCCCATTTTTTTTTTCTGTTCATAAGGATTTTCACAATCTTTTTTTAATAAAATGTATCCTATGTCCATCTCCTGCTTCTTAGCTCTGTCCCCACCAATTTACAGGCAACTTCATTGAGCCGTTCTTGAGTTATAAATAGTGCAACTAACACAACTTTATTTTTTAAATATGATAATATGAGATAGTAAGTAGTTAAAATATTTTTGTTTATTGTAGGTCATGGTCACATTATGTAAGCAAATAATGTGGTAGTAGTTATAACCATAAAAAATAAATTTTATTATATTATTTTATTACTGCCCTTATCACCCGGCAAAAAGTCGACGTGCATGCCGAAATCTAATCTAAAATATAAATACTACCTGAGATCCCCATCCTTAGAGCCACAAAATATCCAAGTTTCATGTTTTGAATTCTCATTATTTTGGGACTTTTCTTCATTGATTACAGTTTTTATCGCCTGACCAACTAGCCCCGATCCTCCAGTCACCAATATCACACGGCTTTCAGTACTCATCTGAAATATGTTATTACATAGAAACAAGTTTCCAGTGAAGAATACAAAATGCAGTATTTTTTTACTATAGTACGATGAAATGTGTAAGATGTACAAACCTTTTATTAGTTTTAATCTAGGTTTACGTAGATTAGATGGTGCGTATGTGGCAAACTTTAATATCTTATTTTAAAAATTAGATTTTTGAGCGATCTATTCGGTATCAGTAGCAGTGACGTTGACGTTCAAATTCAACCAACAACAAACTCATATTATGTTGACAGTTGACACTTCAAAGTATGATTGTCAGTGTCAGTTGATAGTCATGGAGAAGTTTTTTCTTTTTTATCAAAGACAATATATAGCTTGAATAAATAGTATTCATGAAAAACATGTTACGGAAGGAGCAACATTCATCTTAATAGTTTCAATTCAAGCCAAGCCTTATATGTCTCCTATAGAAGACTGGAAGTAACTTTATCTTTTACTACATCTCATGTGCAAAGCTGCGAACTAATATTATTTATCATTTTTTTTTAGTTTCCCTAAAAGAAAAATTAAAAGCGGTGTCAAATCTATTTTCTGGAACCAGAAATATACTGTAATAGGAAGAAAACGGGCAGTATAGGCTTTTCCACATTTAAATTTTCATAATTTTTTACACGAGCAGATGGATCACCTGATAGTGAGTCAATGGACATCCGCACTGACCAACACCAGACAAACTACAACACTTTGTTCTTTTGCATCTCGTTTTTCGCTTTACTTTTGTATAGCTGATATTCAATAATGTATAACTTATATTTGCATTGCATTTATGTTATGCTGTTACACTACATTGTGTAGACATTAGACAATTTATATTTTGAAGTAAACTTGTGAAACTAACCTATAAGTTTGGAAGAACCATGCTTCGGGACGAATGCGCCGGCTCGACCAGCCGGAATAATACCACGGCCTCACAGTAAACCAACGTGAAACTACGCTTGTGTTTCGTCGTATAAATGAGGTTACCGAAGGCCCAAGTACCCCTCCTCTCCAGGCTCCCCAATCCCCGAATATCCCACTATCTTCAAATTCTCAATTCCCAATAGGCCGGTATCGCACTTGTAACGCCTTTGGAGTTTCAGCTGTCCATGGGTGGCCCTGATTGCTTACCATTAAGTGATCCGTCTGCTCATTAACCGGCTTTCCATAAAAGAAAAATAAAGTATGTTTCATAGGATTCCCATACATTTGCGGTAACATAATACATAAAAATTAGTAGTAAAAATTGATATTTTTTTGTAAATTTATAAATATTTACCATTTATCCCAAAAAACACGCTTATCTCTTTGTATGTAACTAATAATGTCCTTTATTTCTAATGCCGACTAGAGATGTGCTGTTGCCGTGCGTTGCCCGAAGTCTTAATTTTTGTGGCAAGATTGCCAGCAATATGGTGAGTGGGAACATTTGGGAATATTGTATAGTATAAGTCAAATTAACTACGGAAACTGTGCGCTATACTTGGGGATGAAAGTTTGTATAAAACTTTGTCAGTTTCAAACGGATCGGGTTGAAATTCAGCATGCAGATAGATGTTATTACGTAGGCATCCCCGACTTCTCCCGCCTGAGTGGGACAAGAGGGAGTATCAGACTCTTACTGACTAAAAACTACCCTGTTCCTACCCCTGCACTTCGAGCCGGAGCCCCGGCAATCCGTTAAGTCTTCCACGGCTCCGTAACGTAGGCATCCCCTAAGATAGGATTTTGATCAATTCCACCCCCAAGGGGATAAAAAAGAGGATGAGAGTTTGTATAAATCTTCTTAGCCGTTCAATCTATTGAATCTAGAATCACTGAATCTTTTTGAGTTAAATTCGGTAAACCGATAGTTTTAGACCTAGAAAACGATATATGTATGATAGTTTTTAACACAGACGTCTCATGGGAACGGGAACTATGTGTTAAAGCCCTAGGACTTTCCATCTCTTAACCGCTGAATTTGTTTTACAGAGATTCGATACAACAATAGTCGATTGGATAAAATAGTGTTTATCACTAAATCCTTTCGAGAATGGGCACTGTACTGGTAAAACCCTGCGGGATTATTTATTTTTTGACACCATGATAAATTTATTTGACAATAAATGTCACACGGCACTGAACCGATTCTGATGAATTCTGCCAGAGGTCATTATTCTACGCGGACGATATTGCAGGCAACAGCTAGTATTTTAATACATATGTTTCGACAATCCTTACAAAACAAAACAGTCCGGTTATATTGCCAAGATTGCTAATGTTGCCGGCAATATTGGTATTTTATCGGCAGCGACATCAGGCATATCACTAAACCACCACTAAATCGACCTTAGTGCAGCCCCGTTTAAGCTATTTTACGCATATGTGTTTTTGGCTTCACCTTTAGATAATGTCTGTGCAGTACATTAAAAAAATCACTCATTTTGAAAATCAGCTCTTTCACCTGCTAATCACGCCTCCGTAATATATTATGTCTTAATACTCCATTCATAGTGGTTTTCGGTGGGAATAGGGACTACTATTGTAGAATTTATAAATATTTATAAATAACTATCATATTTATGTAATATTGCATAAGCAGTAGGGGAAGCTCTCGGAATACACACAATTAATGTTTTAATTTGTCTTAAAAATCAAATAAAAATCAATATAATAATTTTGTTACAAGACATGGTTTTATTTTTAACAGGGGATTCCAAATTCAAAAATGTCGATGACTCACAAAAGCAATTTACATCATAGCAGCACTTTTTAAAACTAAAGAAATCTTGTCTATGTTAAAATACTGATTAACGATTGGCCCGTCGCTTCTCTACGAGCATTCGTTCTCGCTCCGAAAACGCCAAATACGTTTTCAAACCAAAATGGAGGATTTGTCGGTCGAGGTGTACGGTGATAATGGTGCTTATTATAAGGTTTGTAAATTTTGAAGTACTATAACATTCCACACAACAAGTATTATTCTAAGTAGTGTAATATTTATTCAATTATTTCTACAGATCAGTACCTTTGTAATTTTTATACTTACAAAAATATTTTTCCGGGAAGATCATCTCGGCTGGAATGGACGCCATGTCCGCCTGTCAGGGCGTGATTTTTCCATGTGTTGTAATAATTACGCTGCTTTCTGTAATTTTTACTGCGATTTAGGTATTATGAAATTGGGGAGATATGCGACGCAATTTTGTATTTGCGCATATATACATAAACGACCTAGATATCTTATTTCTAGCGGACCACGAAGTTGGTGTATAGTCGGAATGTTCTAAAATTCTCTTTATTTTTAGGCCATTGTCACCGACGTTCTCGACAACGAGGTTCTCGTAGCCTTTGAAAATGAGTAAGTATTGGCTTTTTTGTATCTCTATTGTTATGAATAAATTTGAGATGAAAAAGTGCGGGTATTTTTATTTATATATAATACTTTGTTTTGTAGCTGGCAGCCGGAGTCGAAATTCCCGTTCTCCCAAGTGTTTTTACCACCGAAAGACACAGGCAAGCACACAGAGTTCGTGGAAAACCAAGAGGTGGAGGTATTCGCGAGGTCCAATGAAAAGGAAGCATGTGGGTGGTGGACAGCAAATATCAAGGTATTAAATTACACATATACTTATTTTGTAGTGCACCCTATCTCAATGTCTAACTTGTTCTCAAGTGATATATCATTCTATAGGCATACTAAGAAGCATTTAATAAGTGGTAACGCATAATAACTATATAAAAGTACTTTGTTCAAATTATATCGTTATTCATGCATTTAGAACTTTCTCTGAGAGTCAATTGTCATTCTATTTATTATAGCATTTCGATTTCAATTAACAGTAACATACTAGGAATTAATCTACCAATTTAATAATTATAATGAAATAAACAGTTGCATGTATAACTTTGAGGGAGGCAGATGTTCAGCAGTGGACGTCCTGTGGCTGATATGATGATGATGATGATGTATAACTTAATCCTTTGTCACAAACAACTACCTACCTTTTAATATTTTAAAAATTGTATGGTATGTTACTTCATTGAATTTGATCTATTGTACATAACTTTTAATCAAACATACAGGAACTGCAGTTTGACTCCAATCAATAAACTTGTACCTATATTTTCAAAGATCACATGTTGTTTGTGTATTATTGATTAAACAACAAATTGATGAAAGTTGTGATGCATGGTTGATTGGGGAGTGTTGTTTATTGAACTATTAGATCCATAGAGTAAATTGCTTGGCACAACAACAAAAGAAATTAGGTATGCAACACTTATGATACTTTAGAGTCTTTTGCAATAGCACTATACAGAATATAGTATATAAATTAAAATTAGAAGAATATTAATTTAATTCATTCCTAAAATAGTTGTCTGAGAAAGTAAGCATACATCTCTGCATTACCTAAATATTGACTGGCAGAGAATGCTGTTGGCACAATAAGGCCCTCTACATCCAAATGTATATGAAGAATAAAAAAACAAATAAATATTAAGTATCATCCATGTCACACATATAATTAAAAAATAAAAATTAATAGATATACATATTTCCATTATTTAAGTGTAATGACATGCAACTTAAACTGTAGTACCCTACTTTAGGTGCACTTTCACTAGTGTAACATGCTTACAGTTGGGCAGTGATAATTGTTCTGTAGAAAAAATAATAGTTTGCTTTTTTAGGCCTTGGTTGTTGTTATTTCATTCAAGACTTTAGCAATTCTCCATATTGCTTGTTACTGTGTATTTCTATTTGGTTATTTATTCATTGTTAGCTTAAGAACAGAGGAGTTTGTGTATAGGATCAAAGAAGTTTTATTGTGGAATACATGTAAAATTTAAATGTACTAAGTTGTTAGAGAAATTATGGTCTTAGATCCTACATGCTTCTAAGTTAATGCATTTCATTTCAATTAAACCTTTGAGTACTACAATGTCTATAATGACGGCATTATAGACACAATTAAAGAACAATAGGTTGCAGTCACCGGTGTCCTCGCAGAGTTTGACAGTTTAAACCATACAAAGGTACTTTAGAAACTTAAATAAAATATATAATAGTCTATCAGTCTGTTTATCAGTGAAGCTAGGTGCAACACATTATATAGGCTTTCTTTATGGGAATACATAACAAAACATGTGATAATGACAATAATATTTTGATTTATCTCAATCTCTATATTTATGTAACATAAGATTATTTTAACTTGATGATTTTCATTTTTACTATTGTGTATGTTCTCTGGTGGAATGAATATTAATTAACTCTTATTGTCTTCAAAAAGTTGTGCTAAGCTCATATTCAAAATTGATACTTACATTCATAAGTTTAACATTTTACATTCATCCTTATTTCTAACTATTGTTTTACTATTGGAGTACTGAGTTTCAACAGTTCCATTTAAAGATGTTCCCAATATTGCAGTGTTTTTATAAGTTTTTAATTTGATTAAATCACATTTAATTGAATTTCAAATCTTTCTGGTAAAAAAATATAGAATGCAAGTGTTGTGCTCTATCCAATTAGGGAATTGTATAAAATGCCGTAAATGGCGCATTGCGCATTTCTTGAGGAAAGAAAATGAGATCAATGGTGCATATTATGCTTCAATGCCGCCAATATACTTCCGGGTATTACCGCCTTTTCTTATACCCTGGCTTTGGGTTTATTATTTATAATGAGGCAATTTTCATAGACTTTGGAAAATGTTCACTATAACTTCATGTAGAATATTTTTGCAGTTTACGACAGATTTTAGGTTTGTAAAGTATAATGAAAGCTAGGAATCCGTTTTTATTGTATGGAAAATGTTTCTTATTTCCAGATGATGAGAGGCGACTTTCTTGTAATAGAATACCTAGAATGGGACAACTGCTACACGGAAATTGTGCCAAAGGACCGCCTCCGAGTGAAGACTCCCAAGACACCTATTGACAAGAACACCTTCCACAAGTTCGAAATAACCGTACCGGATGATCTCAAGGACTAGTAAGTACTCGTTGCTAATTACTTGACAGTCAGGTTAATGACCTCACTTCTCTAGGGAAGATCAAAAACCATAAGTACAGTATTATTTTATTATTGTTCAGATAATGTTAACACTAATTAATAATCTCGTTATAATAAAAAAAGCAAAATGTTCCTACAAGACAATAAATTACAGGAAAATTGTAAAATTTGTATTTCTCTTAGCAATTTTGTTTTACGACAAGTTTTTAGTTCGCGTAGGATGCAAGACGAAAGTTGTGGTATCTTTATGACTCGCGTGTTAAAACATGAATAACACAGTTTTGTTTGGGATGTGGCCTGATTTATCTGAACTATCTAAGTAGTGCTGTTTTATTACCACAACCATTGGTTACCCATTTAACACGAATTTCCTACACCAGGCATATACTTAAAAACTACTAAATGTTAATCGCTTGAATGCATTGATATGAGACACAGTAAAGAATACATTGTGTCTCGCGTGGATCCACGTTTAGACACACGACGGGTTATAGTATAATGACAGCAGAAATTGATAATATCCAATATGTTCAAAGTTGTTTGATTATGTTCAAAATTAGGAGCTTCTTTCACTATGTTACATTTTAAACAAAATATGTATGCTAACAATAAAAACAACTTCAGTAAAACATGGGTATAATATTGTTAGAATAAAGACCTTAAATGAGTGTTGGTGTCCAGTGCGAAGGTGGAGAACGCCCACAAGGAGTTCCAGAAGGCGATCGGCGCCGCGCTGGTGTGGTACGTGGCGGAGCGCGGCGTGCTGGCCGTCGTGTCGCGCTGCGAGACCTCCCACAAGCGCGCGCAGATGCTGCAGGAGATGCACTTTAGGTACCTCGCCCCTTGTACTAACATTCCACTCATACAATTAAACTACACAATTGTTAAAAGTATGTTACTTTGCACCCTACCTTTTTACCATCATAATAGACAGTTCATGTAGTTATATTGTACTCACATGTGTGTTGAGATTGAATGCAACCTCATCACACTCAGTTCAATCACTTTATCATCCATATTTCAATGCAACATGTCTGGTTTCCTTACATTACTATTCACCTCTTTACAATTCAAGAGAGATCATGATCCTTCTATTCAGTAAAATGCAAATAAATGAGCACTTCACTGGGATCCCAATTATAAAGTATCAATTGAGGTCCTATTTGTTTGGGCAGCAGACTCACTGCTACAACAAAATTCGTGCTAACATTATCAATATAAGCCACAGGGCCAGCGGCACTAAGGCTCTTGCCGAATTGGTAGTATTAGGCTTATGACATTGCAATTAAAGAGTATATTGGTTCTCATGTCCTTTCATCTAACAATGTCAACATTTTACAAATGAAATTGTTTAATTGCACATTATTATTTACAGGAATCTAACTCAGAAGCTGTTATTGTTGAAAAAGACTGAAGAAGCAGCCAAACAGTTGGAGTCCACTAAAATACATAATCAGGGCGGGTGAGTACCTACACAGTACAGATTTCTCATAGTACTAATCTGTTGATCTATCAATTACAAGTATGAATGATGAGCACAAGAGATTTCCGGATATAAAGTGACATTGTTTTACAATCGTGTAATTCTCAGTAAACTGGCGAAAAATGGGTGTATGATATAAGTCCACTTCTTCTGGGACAAGTTGTAATTGTAATCCTTGCTAATATTATAAATCGGAAAGTGAGTTTGTTTGTTTGTTCCGCTTTCACGCAGTAACTACTAAACCGATTGCTTTGAATTATTGCAGTCGTAAAGTTCAAAGTCCGGATTAAATAATAGGGTACTTTTTATCCCCGAAAAATTTGATATTCCCGAGGGAAAACAAAATTATTGGTATAGATGGCGCTGTGTGTATTGGTATATATCACATAGGCTACTTTTTATCCTTTTGTGACGCGAGCGAAGCCGCGGGTAAAAGCTAGTGTCTTATAATTACATTGTTTGTATTCTTTAGGTCTTCCATAATCAGGATTTTATCTAAGTCGGGAAACATGTTATGTGTAGTCTTACTCATGGCATACACTTTCATGAAATTGATGATTTTCGTAACTGTTTTAGTAGGTACTTAACATCTTCGTTACATGTTCATTATAAGCCAGACTACAAGAGCCTGTCTTTTTAGAGATTTGCCGTAATCCCTTCGCGTGGCGGGCAACTAAGCCACTTTTGTCCAAATACCCAAACTCCACTAAATTTTAAGTCGCGCTTAAGTATAGTTCTATAACATAACATCACGCCTTTTGTCCCCGAAGAGGTAGCCAGAGGTGTACATTATGCCACAGTACAATGTAACACCCACTTTTCACTATTTATGTTATGAGTCCCATATAATAGGGGGTGAGCCTATTGCCATATACCGGGCACAATTCCAGACTCCGTGCTACTAATGAGAATTTATAAAAAACCCAGTAGTACTTTGCCCGACCCGGGAATCGAACCCGAGACCCCCTGCCCGGTAGTCGCACTTGCGACCACTAGGCCAACGAGGCAGTCAACGAGTATAGTTCTGGCACTACAAATTCTTTGTAAAATGAAAGGGGCCACGATATTTAACTACAACTTAAAATTGAGTAGCGTTTCAGTATTCGGACGTTTGGGACGCATTGTTGACTGAATTTGACGCATGTTACGAGGATATAATAACTGTTTCATATTCATTCCATTTATTGAATAACTTGCATCAGTTCTAAACACCCTCTAATAATATATTGATTGATAACACAATCGCATGTCGAATAGTAATTACGAATTCTGATCAACGTGTAGACAACGTGACGTCACAAGCAAAATATTATGTTTATGTTACATTTATCAGTGGCTTTCGTTATTCATAGATTGTGATGTGACGCTACGCTTTCTCTATCGACGACGTGAATCGTATTGTAGCGCGTCTATTGAATATAAAAGGCGTTTCTTATCTGTATTGGGTACTTAATGGCTTCCTATTAAATGACTATAACATTATGACTTTACATACATGTTTCGTTTCTAGGGGCTTCCCCCATAGCTAGATCATATTCTATTCTTGTTATGAAATGACGCTCTTCTATGATCCATGCCATTATACTACCATTTGTCACTTCTAGAAAAGTTGAAAATAAGCATCGTTTGTTGAATACTTAGCATGTTCAGTTAACATAAAAATTAGCAGAACGAGTTGTGAAAAAAATGTTTATTTTCGGCAAATCGGTTTCCGCATGCCCCAGCGACACGTGATATGTAGCACGCATGCAACAAATTAAAGCTTCGTGGACGCATTCTTGCGTGGAACGTACCCTACTTTGTTTGATTGCAATCGCGCTCGATATTTTTATATAATGATCGATGGTTTCAAGAAAAACGGTGTCAGTTGCTTGTCAGCCAGCGCGTTATACATAATTTTTTTTTAGGAATCTTCGAGATTGTGATGATATTTTTAGGTTTAGTGATTGCTCATTAATTTTTTCCACATGATTGGATATTGTACATATTTTAATCAAGTGAATGGCAGTAACATACACATTAATATTTTCTGCACATTATTCATCTGTATATTACTGAAACTACTTTTAATTTTCATGTTGTGACAATAATATTCCTTCATGGCGATTGCTCTCAATTCCTGCTATAATTTTATTTAGTGTTTTGCATTTTATGGTGTGACTACTAAATCAATAACAATATACATACGTACAACAGTTTACACTTTAAATTACTTGGGTTTTTTGGTTGGAAGTACTTTGTATTAAAGAGGATGTCTTGTTCCAGCTATACAGACGAATTCTCTGTGCGTGAAGATCTGATGGGATTGGCAATCGGAACGCACGGAGCTAACATACAACAAGCACGCAAGGTGTCTGGAGTCACCAACATTGAGCTGGAGGAGGTCTCATGCACGTTCAAGATCTGTGGCGAGGTCTGCATCTATTTATACTGTACTATGTTGTTATACGATAGTGATGAGGGCGAGTGTGACGAGGTACGTGCTATGTTCCAGTCGGTGGAGGCCGTGCGCGCCGCGCGGTCGCTGCTGGAGTACGCGGAGGAGTCCATCAAGGTGCCGCGCGCGCTAGTGGGGAAGGTCATCGGGAAGAACGGGAAGGTCATACAGGAGATCGTCGACAAGAGCGGAGTCGTGCGCGTCAAGGTGGAGGGAGACAACGAGCCCCAGCCGTCCGCGCCGCGCGAGGAGGGCATGGTGCCGTTCGTGTTCGTGGGCACCAGGGAGAACATCGCCAACGCCAAGGTGCTGGTGGAGTACCACGTGGCGCACCTCAAGGAGGTGGAGCAGCTGCGCGCCGAGAAGCAGGAGATCGACCAGCAGCTGCGCTCCGTGCTGGGCGGCGGCGCGCAGACCTACCCGCCGCCGCGGGGGCAGCCGCCCGCGCGCGCGCGCCGCACGCGCCCGCCGCACCACCGGTACCCCACCGCGCCCGCCCGCCGCATGACGCCCGACCTGGCCGACGAGCGCAGCGACAGCGCCGGCTACCGCGGCCGCGGGGGGCGCGCGCCCAGGCCGAACAGGTACCACTACCGCGCTCAATACATCACACTCATCTTTGGACATATAATCTATTCTTCACAACGATCTTTTAAGATAACTTGTAAATTTACAGCTTGACAAAAAAGAGTTTAAACAATTGAGGTTGCCAGTATCGTACTGTAGTTACCTAGTACACAAACTCCAAACGATTTTGATATTTGTTATTTTTATCGAGTTTAAAAAGAGGTGGTACTGTGTTCGGATGATTGTCTCTTCATAAGATATAGTCCGAAATGGGTGATTCAGTTCAAGTCAACATTAGTTGCAGCTGTCACCGCGTTGCTCTTTCTTACCAAGCTGTATATGAAAAGTTATCGCTGTGTATTCGGTGACGAGTGTAGTACCATGTCGCGACAGGTCGAGCGAGCGCGGCGAGCGGCGCGTGCTGGAGAACGGGCGGCCGCACCCCGCGCCGCCGCGCCAGCCGCGGACCACGGCGCCCGTACGTATACACCACAACACTAATAAGGGATGGGGTTATACTGCCTTATACTGGCCACCGCGACTTTGATATTCCATTCTGCTGAGAGTTTCGAAAATTCTATGTGTCTCAACTTGGGATCGAATCTGTAAACACGTTGCTTGAATGCCATGGTCTGCAAACTACCATCAACATGGCGATCATTAGAATTTGTAAAGTTAAATGTAAGTACCTACTTGTGTAATATTCACCCAATGGTGGTCTATAGTGTTCCATAATCAACTTCTAAATACTATTTGTAACTTCAAAATAATTTATAAGTTTCATTGTATCCAGTAATGCTAAAGACTGCTTAGATCTATAAAATTATGCAACAGATTTTGAAGATTTTTTTTTAGTAAGTAGAGTGAATCAAGAGGGGTAGGTTTTATGTATAATAACTAGCTTCTGCCATCGGCTTCGCACGTTTCCAGGGGTAAAAAAAAAGCATATATACGGTCGAATTGAGAACCTCCTCCTTTTTTTGAAGTCGGTTAAAAAGTTACTTTAGACCATAATCTACCTCTGTTCCAAATTTCATCCCTGTCCCTTCAGCCATTTTGATGTGAATTGAGTTACAAACGAACGAACACACAAATTCTTATGTTTTCATATTTATAATAGCGGTTCAAGCTAATTTCAACCATTGACCCTATAGTTCAGCGTAAAGTCTACTACAAGGAACATAACATTCGACAAATGACAATGACCAAATTTGTATGGAGCGTGGTGCCTTTTAATTTTTTCGCGGCAGTTGATCAAATGTGGATAAACTGATGCAGAATAACATTACAAACAAAAAAATGTATGGGGTCTTATATCAAAAACACAGTCCGAACCGAGTTAAGTCAGTTCAAAGATGTGAAAATAGTAGTATATTATTCCTGTTATTTTGTTGATGGTGACCGTACACAACACATATTTCTTCATTTACTTGTCAGAAATATTTTGTAATTAATGTTTATAAACGATTTCAAGGAATATAGTAAAGCTTGTTGTGGGCTTATTTCTTTTTTTTATTATTTTTTTTTTTTTTGTTATAAGGCCAAGGAATCAGAACAAAGTGAACCATTAACTGGCCAATGCTGAAATAAAAAAAAACATTTCGCTTGATTGGCTAGCGTATTCACTTTATATGTATACGGTTTAAGGCCTATGACAGATTTTCATGATCAATTTCCTCTCAGTCGAAAACCCGCAAAATACTTTACTGAGCCTTATCATAAAATGCTATGTTCGTCAACCGAGGCGTCGGTAGCGGATACACGAAAAAATCATTTTTCTGTCTACTTCTCCCGACTTACTTCCGATTAGTAACTAATCTAACTACAGTTAATACTTATAATACAGTTAATAATCTATATCTAACATAAGATTCTGTACAAAGATATCGTCATTCAGTCACCAAGTGATGGATTATATTTCGACTGATCACATTATATGAAAAAATTATGCGCTCATCTGACGTATAGTCCATCACTTTACAAAGCCGACGGTTTCCTTTCTTGAAAATATTATGCTAACTATAAAGTAGATGAGTCTACCACCAGGAGTCAAAGGCAAAAAAAAACTTTTTGATTTTTGGACGGCTGCCACTACTCAACCCACCACTGGTACCTCAGCTGACGCTCATGGAGCTTCATGACACAACTCCTAGAAGCATCCCACAAATTATCGACTGAGAGAAAATAGCAAATAAAAATTAGTGCCTAGCAATATGGATATATTGTGGTGTAATATGGTGTTCCTGTGCCCGGCGTACAGTGGCGCGCAATTTGAAGTTAGGAATTGTGACAAAAATATGAATAATTCGAATAAAAAAACCAAAGTAAAATGTTTGACTTCAGCTCTTTTCGACGCTCATAACTCAGTCCAGACTGAGATTTCCATATATGAGCCCATACACAATTTCGTTTGTAATGTCATTCTAGATAATATTTTCCATAAATCATCGACTGCCGCCAGAAAAAAGAAAGGCACCAATTTTAGTCAATGCCCTTTATATTTGCGTTTGGTACACTGTCTAAGGATCGAGTCGCACAATTAAGTTTGTATTTTGTGTATATACTTTTTCGAGATAAATGTACCCAGGATATTACAGTATACCAAGTTTCATCGTAATTAGACCGGTAGTTTTTGCGTGATACGATTATATACGATACATTTTTGGGTTCGGACTATTTTTTTTTAATATTTTCAATTTACAGTTTAACACTTCTACAGTTTTATTATATGTATAGAAGATAACTCCGGACTTCGAGTGCGAAGCCGCGGGCAAAAGCTATTTAACCCTATGAGTACTGTCATTATAGACACAATTAAAGAACAATAGATTGCGGTTACCGGTGTCCTCGTGTCTCGCGGTGTTTGACAGTTTAAATATACAAAAATATATTTAATATATATTAAATATACAAAATATACAAAAATATATTTAAATATTATAAACTTTCTGTTAAATTCAAGAGCAGTTTGTTCGAAGGGTTTCAAGATTTATTTATATTGTTTGCAAATTTATTTCAATACTCAATTTACTTATTGAAGAAAAAAACACAAATAACACAGTAAATAAATATTGGGATTAAATATTATGACCGCCAGAAAATAATTTGACACCCTAAGTTCTTTTATCAAAAATATATACTTAACACCAAAAATGTAGTCACTAAATATAGTAAATGATCACCTTTGACGGCAGTCAGACATAGTTGGCGGATACGTCAGAATGGTATGACGGCAGCTATAGTAAGCGAACGGAGCGACCGAAGTATTGCTACTTAGGTTAGGTTTCATATTATAGTACGGTTCTAATTTTGGTGATAATTTACTACTTTTGGGTTGACAATGATTATTTTGGAGTCATTTTGATTAAATAGCATACCGAAATGTTAAAACTTAGGTTATAATTTTACATTAAAATGCGGGTATCATTTTGGTGATCATTTACTATTTTTGTCATGTGTACTATATCTGGTGGTAAGTTAAACATAAGCTATAAATATTTTCAGAGTGGAAGACGACGCGAAGACAGACGGAGGCAAACTGATGATGAGAGCAGTGTGCTAGACAGCCAGGACGTGTCCAGTGCGGACCGAGGTACGACATAGTCGCGCTTGTACAAACTCGCCACATACTGGGCGCTCGACAAACTGCCTCACGGTTGTGATAGGACATTGCTTCGCCATTATGTACTTTACATAACGTCTCACTCCGAGACTCTTTTGAAAATGCTCTCGGACGTGGTGGTGTATTCCACTCTGCTCCACTACCCATATCTATTTAGATATTCTATTTTTAAATGACTTGAGTTTGTTATTTTTAGTTCTTAATTTGTACCTTCATGGGTATGAAATTTAATTCCCCTCTTATCCTTAAGATAGTTTTTTGTTATGCCAATTATGATGTTTTAAATAAATTTTCCCTCGGGTCACTTCCCTTCAGCGCCCTTTATACAAGTGCACTAAAACGGGTGTGTATTCTGTTAATGAAAGTTGCAATGAATGTAGCAGTAGAATTAGATGTGAAATAATCCCTTGATTATTTTTCCAGTGAGTCAGATTGGAATACACTGCCGTCGCGTAATGTTCTTAGAATTTAATGAATACTTTAGTCTTTAAATGTTGAAATAAAAATATTATCGGATTCCTTGCGTTTGAATTTTAATATTATATTAGAATGTAGATTAGAAGATACACTAAGATGGGACTTGCATTGCCCTTGGTCTTTCCGGAAGACATTTCAACTAGTACAAAGTAAAATGTTAGCATAAACACAGATTATTTTAAAGAAGAATCATTCAAATCACAGTATTTTTATGATCAACTATAAATTGAAGAATGTCTATATGTGCCGTATAGTTCGTCGTAGGTGTACAGCCGTATAGTTTGTCGATCGCTCATACACATGGAGCCTATTATTCATTATTATGAAATGTAGGTTTGCTGATGCAATAGAAAAGCTATGCTATGAACCATTATAAAAATCTGAAAATATTACTGAATGTGCTAGTTAAAATGTAGTTGTAGTGATTATTTCATAAGTGTATTTATGCATTATAATTTTATATGTTTATTTTTTCTGTGCACCCCGTTTTACATTTTAATTAGTACATAATCTGTAGAAGGATGAATGGGAAGTTTTAGTTATATTTCGTTGTCAGTTAGTTACTCGGGGTGAATAGTTGTTTGCTATATATGAACGACGTGTTTCCTATTTTCGCTTTTTGCAACGGTTTGGTCTCGGTATGTTTACTAATACTTCGGTGAGGGCTAAACTAAACACAGCATCTATGATTCTCAATGTCCTACGTAGTTTCTGTGTTTTAGTTCTATTAGCTGTTTGATTTTCATTTGGATCATTTTCGAAGTATACAAGTATAGTGTCGTGTCAGTATCACATGTAACTATGTCTGAGTACTAAGTAGTATCGCATTGAGTATGAGTCGGTCGCGCCGCGGCGGCGGATAGCAAACGACTAGTCCCCCGGTAGACGCGCAATGTTGGCACTCGTGGCATCCTGTGTGTCCAGACTCCGCCACGTCGGACGAGGGGCGCGGCGCCGGCGACGGCCACGCGCGGCGCAGGCGGCGCAGGAGGACAGGTACACGGGGGCGCGCCCCACATACACTATATCTAATGCTTTTCATTGGTCACTTTTTTATAAAAATATAAACCTTAATAATCTCACCTGAACTTTGGATACACTTATCACGCGTGCACATCAGTGATCTAACACGATTGTGAGTAAAATGCATGTTTTGATTTTAATTTGTGTGTTTTGCACTAAAAGTTTCTAGTCTCCTTCTAGTCTACGGCTTTATCATAATAATATCTCTTATCATAGTTTTATGTAGTAGACACGTATAGATCGCATGAATTAGCCACTCGCCCACATGATGTAAGATTTTCAGATTTAAGAGCTCTAGAGTCAAAGTAGAGAGCTCTCGAGCACGACCCATATCTCGCTTGTGTTGCAGGAGGCGGGTGGAAGAACGGGCTGAGCGGCGGCGGGGGCGCGGGCGGCGGCGGGGGCGCGGGCGCGGGCGGTGGCGCAGCGGGCGAGGGCGCGCGTGCGGC